GCATGTGGAGAACACTTCCCCAAAAGATCCAGGACAGATCTCTCCTCAGATGGTCGAGCTCGGACTGGCCAGGAGCGGTCCAAACGCAACTCGAATGCATCGGCCTCGACATCAGCTTCCTCTGGCAAGCAGGAAGATTTGTTGAAGATGATTGCAAAATTGACCTTGCGTCACGAAGACCAGATCAACGAACTCAACCTGGATCGATCGTTCCTGATCTTTGCTCAATGTGGCCGTGGCAGCTTGATGCCTCAGATGCTGGAATGTTCAGCCTCTGGAACCTTGGGAAACAAGCAGGCGAGGTCACCACATCTTTGCGCTCGACCCTGTTCCACGAGATGGTGAAGACCTTAGTCGACAGAGTTGGGAAACTGAAGCTGGAGCAAAGCGACGACGACTTGATCCAGCAACTCGTTGCTCGTGGAGTGCTGACGGTGGACCGTCGATGGAACTACTTGGCCTGGGATCCCAAGGCTTTGACTCTGAAGCCTACCAATCGAGAACCCATCAACTCCCAGGAAATGGCCCAGATCCTACAGCGGTTATTAGCCTTGAGTCAAAACCAGATGCTGGTGCATCGCTTTGCAGCACTCAGACCTCTTCGACAAGACTCTCTTCCCCAGGATGCAGCAGTGGCCATTCCTTGGAAACTCGACATAGCTCTTCGCACACCCGAAGCGAACGAGTTGTGGATCCATATCCAACGCCTGTCAGGCAATGGCATCACCCAACTTGCATTGCTCCGCATCCGCCAGGCGGGCTTGCAGAGGAGCCCCCTGGCTGCGGCAATCTCGACCAAGCTGAGGAGGTGATACGCTGGGTTCGCACTCACGCATTGGCCTCAAATGGAGCCACATGCTACCTCGAGCACTCTCATTGCTCAGATGTGGGCTCAGGCCATGACGAAGTCCTTCACCTTTGAAGCATGGGATGCATGGCAAATACCTTTGACCCGTTTGCTGCAGAGTACGGCCCTTGAGCCATTGGATCCATGCCGGGAAGTTTACTTAGGACTTGAGCTTCGTTCATGGTTTCTTTCACACTCTCCACTGGCGCAACATGACGCTGGTGAGTTCATGGGATGGCTACGGGAGGCCATGTTTCGGCAAAAAATCCGACTTGCACCGTGGCCGTTTCAGGGTTGGGAAGCCAGACTTGAAAACAATGTTGAGGATAGAGGTACCACCCTCTCTCCCATCGTGCTTCGTAACTTGCCACCTGATCATGTACAGCTTCAGCAGCTCATTCACGAATGGTGTGCCAGTCAACCATATGTCAATGAATTGCGCAGTCCCTGTTCAGCCTTCAACTCGAACGATACTCCGCATTAGACCAAAAGAATCTTTGTGCAGTGAATTGGCAGCAAACTCAGGTGAAGATGCCACTCTTCATGAAGAGTGAAGGCCTCTAGATCTGCTGGATTCCATGCATTGTTGTTGCTGGAGTTGCTCACTTGGGCTCCTGCCCTACTGAAGGCCACTACAGAGCTGCCCTGTTCCATTCAGGTGAAATGCTGTTAGCTGATGACTTTCAGCTGCCCGCCCGTTTTGTCCTCATGATTTTTGAGCACGGCTTGATAGCCACACTACATCGGATGTCGGGGCATGCCGCCCTAGAGGTGGCCAGGAATTTGCAAGAGCAACTTCCCGCAGCCCAACACGGGCGAATGAAGGATTCGATGAATGAATGAATGAATGAATGAATGAATGAAATGAATGAAATGAATGAAATGAATGAAATGAATGAAATGAATGAAATGAATAAAATGAATGAAATGAATGAAATGAATGAAACGAATGAAATGAATGAAATGAATGAATGAATGAATGAATGGATGAATGAAATGAATGAATGAATGAATGAACGAATGAATGAATGAATGAACCAATGAATGAATGAATGAATGAATGAAATGAAATGAATGAAATGAATGAAATGAATGAAATGAAATGAAATGGAATGAAATGAAATGAAAAGAGATGAAATGAAATGAATGACTGAATGAATGAATGAATGAAATGCATGCAGTCTGAGATATGCTTTATTGGTGTGCAATGCATGCAGTCTGAGATATGTTTTGTTGTTGTGCAACGCATGCAGTCTGAGATATGTTTTATTGTTGTGCAATGCATGCAGTCT